AAAATTAAAAAGTTTCATTATCTTTATAAATTATTTTGAAATATCGGGATATTATATTCGATTCTTCGGTACATTCAACTGTATGATTGTTTGATAAGATATTCTCATAAATCCATTAATCTCATATTGTAATTCAATTTTATTTGGCTATACAAAGATTCACATTGAGATTTTTTAAGTAAGTGTATATACATTCAATTATAGCATTAAAGCTAATTACATATAATTTAATCTGTGAAAATATATTCTTCTTTTGTTGAATATGTTAAAAATTTGCTACAAGTGTTCATTTTCTTTTTGTTCTTTTTTTCATTATATCTATTTAAATTTTATTTTTTTAATGTCATGATGGTTTATTACTTTCCTTTTTTTTTATAATGATAATAGATTCTATTATTAGTACAGCAACAAAAAAAAATTTCTTTCATAAATCGGACATGCGTGTTTGATTAATCATGTGAATAAAATAAAATGACATTAAAAAGAACATATGTATTTTAAGAAAAAGCATAAAAGGATTTCATTAATTGATGAGAAATAAATGTTGAAATATTATTGAGAAAAGATGTAATTCGCTCTATATATTGAAAAAACAAAGAAATGCAGAAAATAATCATAAAGAATATATAGTTCCAAGGTGTCAGCCGATGGGTATTTTGAGATGTCGATTTCAATCTTCGATAGATCTATAGATATGAAAATATTCCATGTCTTGCTGAGTCCTCGATCCATCGAAAAGTGGCACTCCGAACAATCGATCTGGAATGCTAATGGCAATCGAACCATCCTTTTCGAGAGGTTTCTAGAGGATCGAAACTTAAGAAAAGTTTTAAAATGTTGTCCGCTAGATATCTCATTTCAGAGCCGTTGATATCTGTCGGATAAGTGCAGAAGAGAAGATTCGAAAATGGGTATCTATGGTTAACAAACTTTTGTCGAGCATCTAAACTAAATATGAACTATTCTTCTTTTATGAAAAGCATCTTTTTCATTATATACGAAAACACTCCGATAGATTTTTTGGTTTTTAAAATCCAAAATTTTATTGCAAGAACTTGTTTAATAAATGCCATGTATCAAGATACATTGATGTGCGTGATAAAACGACAAAATAATGCTTCGAAATATTTTTTAGAAGATAAATGGTAAATATTCTTCTACAATATCCAAGAAAATATACTGAGCATAAACGAGTTCAGTAATATCACTAAATAATAATAAAGAATCTCTCAAAATTCAAACTTTGAAGAAGTTTTGAGTATTCGTAATTATATCGAACAATCAAAAGTATCTTTCCGATAGGTTTGTCCTCTTGGAGTGATCGAAATATGTCTAAGAACTCTAAAATGAGTATCCCACAGGATGAACTTGTCGTGGGTTTGCTATTCGGTGGCTACTGGAGGGCTCCAAAATCGAACAGAACGAGCAAAAAAGCATCTGTTTCAAACTTTCGGCTACTCGTCGTGCCCGTTGTATACTTTTTAGAGTCTATTTGAGGTAATACGAAAATCGATAAAGAAGTCAATGTAAGTTGAATTATGAATTCGAAAAAACAATTTTTAAATTCAAACTAATAATTTTTGATCTGTAACTAGAGCCCGACGAGTCCAAAGTTTTTAGAGCTGAACCTGAACTGAGTTAATGGAAAATTTTTCAGACCTGAATGTAGGATCAACTAGACAAATTCTATCTACGATAGCAATAGTTCTCACAGTTGACTTATATCATTTTTATAATATTTCAATGTTTAATATTATTTTATATAACAGCTTTACAATGATTCTTTTCATTTGTATTCTATTTTTAACAATTGATGATTTTCTCAAGTATACACATTTTCTTTTAAGTTGATGAAAAAGATTCGCCACATTCTCTACGATCATCCCTGAAAAAGCAAAACATATCACAAAGAGCATATTTTTTTGAATAAATTTCGTTTTTTTTAGGGGTTTTGGTGATACTTTTAACGTTTTAAAGAAAGGTCGTAGAAAATATAGCGACCCCTCATGTTGTTCTCTTTAACATGGTAGCGTTAAAAAATAGTTTCTGGGATCTGAAAACTATCGTGTCCAGTTTTTTAGAAATATTGTCATCATAGTGTGTCTATGGAATCTTGATATAGAATGCATTAGATAGAAAATTTCACTGGTTATTAAAACCTACTGTTTGAATTTGAGCTAATTGTTGAACATTATAGAAAAAAGAATTTAAAATTACGTTGTTATTAAACTTTTTCCTATCATATTAGGTGTTAGTGTCTTGCTGTAATATATTACATGAAAATTTTAATTACAATGTCTCAACAAATATTCAATTGTTGATGATAAATCATTAGTGATAATATATGGGATATGTTCTCATAGGTTACATTAATAATTGTAATTCAATGAGTATTCAACATCGGAACGATAATTAGAACTTTAAATTCTAAAATGATTAGAATATAGTGTAAAAAAGTAGTTAAATAATTTTATAAAAACATACTATTTTGTAGAAATTTTACTCTGAAATTATGCTGTTCTTTTTCACAGCATGTTTCCAACAATTTTTGTCCTTGATGAACCTTTCAAGTATTCTATATTTGACTCTGGTAGATCAAACAAATCTTACGGTACACTAATTTTGAACAAAAATAGACAATTTTATTAATAACTTCCATAGAAGATTACATTTATTATTATCCTTAAGTAATTTCTTGTGGAATTTTTGATAGAAACATTGGATTTCAAATGTGATTTATATTGATTTTTTTGTCTCTGTTATGATATAACATCTATATTTCTGTAATGGCTTATCTTTTCTTGTGTGTCACCTTTCTTTTGTTCTTCTTTACTCTTTCTTTTGGTATATATATATATGATGATTTAGTCAGTCAGTTGAAAAAAATAAACAAGAAAGAGATTATGTTCTACTAAAAATGAACTTAGTTTATCCTTAAAAAAAAAGTAAAACATAACAGTTCAACTTAGAACAAATGAATTTATTTTTTGCACATGTTGTCTATTCTTGTATTTGTAATTTTTACTGAACAATATAGTTTTAAAATATATTTTTACAATTTATGGCTTTTGTTTTGTTGAAAAAAGAAAATTATCTTTTGTTGATGCTTGAAAGAATGAAAATATGTTTGATTACGCATAAAATTTGTTAATGTCACTAAAAGCTATTTATTTTAGAAAATATTCTTTTGAAAATGGATGTTCATACTAAGATTCATCTGATAAATTAGCCAATGGATCTATAAGTTATTTTCATTGGAGTAATGAACCATTTTAATTGTTGAAAAAATCCATCATCTTATTAAGTTCTTCGAACATTTCAAATATTGTTTTCTTTACTTCAATGTTTTTGTATGAAAAGAAAGGAACTAAAAAATATATTTTGAGTGCCATATGAAGTTAGGATCAAGCTCTACATAAACCGTTTATTCTTGATTTAAATGATTTTAACGTGAAGAAAAATAACAAAACTCAATTTTTTTCTCTAGCAGGCAAAAGTTTAAGACATTTTTAGTATTTGAGCGATTACATCGTTATCAAGAAACTGAGACAATTTTCAAAAATAGACAATTATATACAGAATTAAACGGGCTACATTTTACTATAAATTTTAATCTTCAAGAATATAGTGGCAGACAACAATTTAGAGCAGCTGTATTTTTAAGTTTTCTTTTCGATGGTAATAGCTAGCAAGAATCTGAACAAAGATGTGTGTAGCTAGAAAGGTCCTCTATCAGGATTGATAGATTCGAAGACTCCAACAGCTTTCTGACCTTCATTCGAAGTTTTTGTAAAAGAGTTTTATTTGATAGAACAAATCGTTGTGAGCAAAATGAGATGAAGTACATTCAATTTATAGAAGGCTAAACAAATATTTTTCATTTCCTTATATTGAAAATATCAATATTTTTGCCATGTTTGAAGCTTTGGAGTCTTCCGTAAATTGAATGCATTTCATCTCATCTTGCTCACAATTCTTTTCCAAAAGCTTCGAATAGAAGCCAGCATCATTCGAGGAGATTTGTTGGAGTCTTCGATCTTCTCAATCTTAATAGAGTTTTTTTAAACACTAATTAAATCTAATTTGTAATTAATAACATTAAATTATTATAACTATGAATATTGTTCTTGTCTTTTTGATAGTGGCATAATCGTCAAAATACTAAAAGTATCTTAAACTTTTGCAATATACTTTATTTGAAATCTCTATATCGACAAAGTTTTAAGTCAAAATTCGAAAATATAAGTTTGCTGCAAATGTTTCATCTTTCAAAGAAATATATACTAAAAATTTGATATCTCATAAATAAGAAACAATAAACATAAGTTCTTTATAAGATATTCATAATTTATTAGGATCTACCTGATGTATATAGTCTTGATATAAAAAAACAACTTTACACCTGGAAATATTCTCTCGTTGATGTCATTTATTATTTTTTCATTTCTAATTTGAAAGAGAAAAAGTAAAAGTTACATTTTCTTTTCAGTATAAATGAGCCATACAAAGAAGATATGTCACTATATGTTAATAAAAGATGAATTGAATACAATTTAACAATGACTTGTGTATATAAATAATAGAAGAATAAAAGATCCTTCTTTTTGTTTCTTTTTTGTACTCGGTATATCCTAAATCGATTAGAAGTCAAAAAAACGTTTGCATGTACTCCACAAATATATAGGTTGCAATTAAGAAAACTGGTAAACTTTTTATCATGAATAAGAATTCCTAGATGCATCTTTTTAAATTTAAGCACAATTATGTATGTCATATGTGATTTTCGCATGAGCACTTTTGAATAGTGTGAATATTAAAAAAAATCAAGGCATAATGAAGATTTTTCTTTTTGTAAATCTTTTATTAGTAAATGATATAGAAAGAAAAAAGAAGAAGAAAAATATTCTTTTAATCTACTTATATAATCGATTCATCATAGTCGAACTATATATTTAAACATAACCATATCTCAAAGTAAATAGTTGTATTGACAATTTATCATGAATAAAAGTCATTTTAATGAAAGTCTTTTACAAGACACAAATGACAATAAAACACAAACGGATGATTATCCAGAATTTTTATTACCTAAACCTATTCGTTTTTGGTTACTTATGATTTTTGAAGTTCCATCTTTGGCTTGTTCATTAGTACTTCTTTATTATTTATTTATTGATCGTAATTTACGACAATCATTAAGCAATCATGTTATTATGGTTCTACTTATTATTGGTCTTTTTTCTCAATTAATTGATATACCATTTTATCTTAATTATTTACGTATAAATTATGTTTGGCCACCAATAACAATCAGTTGTCTTACGTGGTGGTTTGCAGCAACGGGTATTTCTAATTTAACAAATATTGTTATGGCATGGGCATCCATTGAACGACATATTTTAGTATTTCATGATCAATGGTTATTAACGAAAAGAAAACGTTTATTGATTCATTATTTTCCACTTTTAACAATTGTTCTCTATGGTTTTATTTATTATATTATAATTCTTTTAATATTTTCATGTGAAAATATGTATGCATATGAATTTGATTGGTGTTTTTATCCATGTTATTATAATAATAAAAGTCTTGCTTTGTATGATACAATAGTTAATTCAATATTACCAACACCAATTATTACTATATTTAGTATTGCATTAATTATTCGTGTCATTAAACAAAAACAAACTGTTCATAGAAATTTTGACTGGCGTAGACATCGAAAAATGGTTATACAACTTTTATCAATAACAGCATTATTTCTTTTTTTTAATTTTCCTATGACAACTCTTGTTTTAGCTAATGCATGTGGTTTACCAAATGGTGCAACTGGACAATTTGAATTTTATACTTATTATTTATATCATTTTGTTTCACTTTTAATACCATTTGTTTGTCTTGGTGCATTATCCGAAGTTAGAAAGAAAATCAAACAAATGATTATATTTCAAACAATGATCAATGTAATTACACCAGGAAATGTTTTGTTTCGCTAATTAATATATTTCATAAAACTTTTGATTTCTATATAAACTGTAATTGTATGTATAAAGAACTGAATTATTCATTAATAAAAATATATATTCATTAAGTGTTAAAAATAAATTTATCTATCATCATAATTATATTCATTAAAAGACTCAACCGAAGTAATCTGTTATTATAAGTTCATAAACAACACAAGGCCAATAATAATGATATATGAGAAAAGAGTAATCAAAA